ATCTGAACACATGCACAATGTGATATCTTTAGCACGGTGTACACTATAACACACAGTTGCCCCTATGACACCCGACATGTTTCCCTGTAATAGACATCTTCTGGAAATGGAGGCTTCAATTCCCAGAAGATGCCTAATACAGGAAAATGTGTCGGGTAGAGCTGGATCTGTGATGTCATCACGCACTGGCGCACCAGCAGGTCCCGTGGCCGTGCTATGTGGATGTTCATATCCCTTGTCATTTTCCAAATACTGTAAGTGCAATTGCCATTCATTAAAAGGTTTTAAATCATACTGTACTACTTCTCCTTTCTCTTTGTTTTAAATTATATTTGGTCTAAAGCATTTGCCTAAGGATACTGAGAACTGCTTGTGTGATTCCTGTGCAGAGACATCATTGCTGCATCTTTCTGGTGGGATCGCAGACCTGTTTAGAATCCTGATAGTGGGAGCATTGGTTTCATTTCACTGGAAGATCTGCAGGGGCGGACTGACCATTTGGAAAATCGGGCACTGCCCGAGGGCCCGGGGTCAGTAGGGGGCCCCATGAGATGCCCCTGGTACCTTTTTCATAGGATTTTTGAGTTTGGGCAAGGACACAGGGGCCCCATGATCCCCTATTGCCCAGGGGCCCCATGAGTTGTCAGTCTGCCCCTGAGCATGTGTGATCTCTTTTATTTCAGATCATTCGCATCCAGTAAGTGGCTTGGCTGTGGGAAAGCACTCTTGAACACTGGAGCATGATTTTGTTCTTATTCATCACTGAGCACTATAATGCCACCATAATGGACTTTTTTACTTGTTTATGGACATTTATTTCTAAGAATTTTTGCACATTTATAAAAGAGCACATACTGTACTATATGCTTATGTGACACATAGTTTTTTAATTTTCAGTAAGAAATTGTCTGGTATGAATTAAGTTCTTAAAAGGACAAAAAAAAAAGTAACAGTTTTAAATCAGAGTATAGCATCAAGTCAATGAAACTCCTGGGATATTTATCTGGTCAGTTAAGTAGCAGAGGGGGTTGTTAATCAGTTTCAGCTGCTCTGGTGTTAATGAAACTAACGACAGGTGCACTGGATGCGCAACAATGAGATGACCCCCAAAACTAGAATGGTTTCACAGGTGGAAGCCACTGACATTTTTTCCCTACTCATCTTTTCTGACTGTTTTTCACTAGTTTTGCATTTGGTTAGGGTCAGTGTCACTACTGGTAGCATGAGACGATACCTGACTCTACAGAGGTTGCACAGACAGTCCAAGTCCTCCAGGATGGCAAATCAATAAGTGCCATTGCCAGAATGTTTGCTGTGTCTCCCAGCACAGTCTCAAGAGCATGGAGGAGATTCCAGGAGACAGGCAGTTACTCTAGGAGAGCTGTACAGGGCCGTAGAAGGTCTCTAACCCATCCGCAGGACCGGTATCTGCTCCTTTGTGCAAGGAGGAAAAGGATGAGCACTGCCAGAGCCCTACAAAATGACCTCCAGCAGGCCACTGGTGTGAATGTCTCTGACCAAACAATCAGAAACAAACTTCATGAGGGTGGCTTGAGGGCCCGACATCCTCTAGTGGGTCCTGTGCTCTTTGTCCCGGCACCATAGAGCTTGATTGGCATTTGTTTTTGAACACCAGAATTGGTAGGTCTACCATTGGCACCCTGTGCTTTTCACAGATGAGAGCAGGTTCACCCTGAGCACATGTGACAGACGTGAAAGGGTCTGGAGAAGTTGTGGAGAACGTTATGCTGCCTGTTATATCATTTAGCATGACCGTTTTTGGTGGTGGGTCAGTGATGGTCTGGGGAGGCATATCCATGGAGGGAAGAACAGACCTCTACAGGCTAAACAATGGCATCCTGACTTAGGTATTGGGATGAAATCCTTGGACCCATTGTCAGACCCTACGCTAGTGCAGTGGGTCCTGGGTTCCTCCTGGTGCACGACAATGCCCAGCATCATGTGGCGAGAGTATACAAGCAGTTCCTGGATGATGAAGGAATTGATTTCATTGAATGACCCCAAGGTCACCTGACCTAAATCCAATAGAACAGCTCTGGGATATTATATTTTGGTCTATCCGACGCCACTAGGTTGCACCTCAGACTGTCCAGGAGCTCAGTAATGTCCTGGTCCAGATCTGGGAGGAAATACTCCAGGACGCCATCCGTCGTCTCATTAGGAGCATGCCCCGACGTTGTCAGGCATGCATGCAAGCATGTGGGGGTCATACAAACTACTGAGTACCATGTCCCATGTACACTAGCCTTTTTTTATAAAAGAAGGCTAGCTCTTAAGCACTCTAACCATCAGAATCCATTTTGCATTGGTCAGACTTTAAAATGATCTCCCCAGTGACTGGCTTTAGGGGAAAGGAAAGAGCACCAATAATGGATGGAATGCCATAGGCTTACTATGAAGCATCTGTTGTTGGCCGTCCCTCCTCTCTCCTGAAACATCCGCTGGGAGCCAATCATATGACAGGACTGGAGGGCCCAGAGAATAGGTAAGTATAAGCATCTTCCTTATACAGGGTAGTTAGTTAGGAGTTAAAAGGGGATGGGAGAAGATTTAGGCTTAGCTATTTCTAGCCTGGACTTCCACTTTAATTCTGATTCGTTTCTGTTAAGAATTGGCTCTCTTTTCCCAAAATTAAGTCAACATTGATAAAATATTTTCCAACAACCTTCCAAGACTATTGAATATTTTACAACACTTTCTATATCACTGAAATAACCTACAGTCAAATGCCACAAAAAAAATGCTTACAATATGGACAATTTCAGATAAAAATCAAACAGAACTCAAATAAAGCCTAACAGTGCAATGAGCAAATTACAGTAAGCACAGCAACCAATAAGAATCCATCTTGTACTGTTCTGGCTTCTGTAGAGGTAATTTTTATTGTCTTTTATAGAAAGAGGACTGTGTACTTAGCACTTTGCTAACGTTATCATTTATTATATGAGTCTGCAAGGTTTTCAGTAGGCACAGCCGTATTTGGAAGATTGGATGTGTGTATTTCACTGTCATTTGAAATTCCATAATACTTTTTAGGTGGCTATTTGGACTCCTATTTCTGGTTTCTTAAATAAAGCCTAAAACAGCTTTCAACAATATGAAATCTTGTTGAACTTGATTGGATTATGGGTGTCAGTAGAGTTTCACCTCATTTGCTAAGTACTGGGGCAAATTCCCTTGCAAAGGGAACAGCCTATATACCTTTAGTAAATCAACCCTATAATGTAGGGTCAATACTTTTTACCTCCACAATTCAAAGCCATGGATGGCTGTGAGATTTTGTGAACCTGATTTTGCCACTAGGTTTTTTTTTTTTACTAAAATTTTCCCTAAAATGATTTATCTTTGTACAACATCATAAGTGATCAATAATTATGATTATGCATGCTGTGATACAAAAAAGTAATAATCGCGATCATTGATTACTCAGAATGGTATAAAAAGATAAATTAATTCTAGAACAATTTAATAGAATAAACTCTCCAGCGCTCCAGGGATCAAATGCCACAGGAAAGCCAAGGGAACCAGGACCAAATTCGCCTATGGATTTCCTTTCGGAGATGCTGCCCTCCTCAGATAGGGAAATCAACTACTGACAAAAGAGCAGACAGGAGGCGCACACCCTTAGTGTATTATCCAAGGTTTCATATAGTATAAAAAGGGATGAAAAATACTCACAAACATGGCATAAATGTACAGCTTAGTAGAACGGTGGAGATGGCCATAACAATGGCGGGGTGTCCAACTGTCAGTGTGGTCGGCTAGCTGACGTGTTTCGGGGAGTCCCTTTCCTCAGAACTGATTACTGACCTGGTAGTAGGTCAAGCTATAACTAGCTATGGCTGAGGCCATGGAGAGTTTAGCCCCTCCCCTTGAGCTCGTTAAATGGGAAGGGGGAGGGGATAACGCAAGAATCAAAGATACACATAAATAGCAATGGAATTGCTGATGTGAGCAAAATAAAATGAAAGTGCACAAGTTTCTGTCATTGTTGCAACCAATAGGATGAACACACCACAACTGGAATAAAATAAAAATTAGAACAATATATTGTCTAATTCCATATTGGAAATCATATATGCAAATGTCTAAAATATATACAGACTGCTTTTAAAATCAAAACAAGCAAATAAAGACGTATAAAAAATTTTATCCCCCTGAGAAAGTTATAAGAAATCCTTTTCAATCAAACAAGGATGAGAAAGTAAAAAGATGTTTTGAATAACTGTTAGAGCAAAAATGAATGAAGTTTGTTTGAATAATGTAAGAAGCAACCTATTGGTTGCAGCAATGACAGAAACTTTTGTTTTATTTTGCTCACATCAGCAATTCCATTGTTATTTATGAGCATCTTTGATTCTTGTGTTCTCCCCTCCCCCCCTCCCCTTTAATGAGCTCAAGGGGAGGAGCTAAGCTCTCCATGGCCTCAGCCATAGCTCTTTATAGCTTGACCTACTACCAGGTCGGTCATCAGCTCTGAGGAAAGGGACTCATCCCCGAAACGCGTCAACTAGCCGACCACACTGACAGTCGGACACCCCGCCATTGTTATGGCCATCTCCACCATTATACTATAATAAACCTTGGATAATGCACTACGCCTCCTGTTTGCTCTTTTTGTCTAGGGCAATTTAAGTAAACATTTTTCTAATGTTACTGTACATCCCTAATTTAACATCAAAATTAAGGTCAACAAAATCTCACACCCATCCCTGGTATTGAACTGTGGGGATAAAAAGTAATAAACCTATACTACAGGATTGATTTACTAGAGGTAAATAGGCTGTCCATTTTGCAAGGGAAGTTGTCTTTTGCAAGGGAATTTCCCCAGAGTTTAGTGAATGAGGTGAAGCTCTACTGACTTCCGTCCTCCAGTTATGTGCAAACAAAACATTAATTTTCCTTTAAGATTGGGTATTCTGTGCAAAGTGAAATTTCACCATATCTCTTGCAAAGTACAACTTATCTTGCAAAGTGAACAGCCTATTTGCCTTTAGTTAATCAACCACTATATCAATATTGCAAGTGACATGGAACCAGGGGCGGACTGACCATTTGGAAACTCGGGCACTGCCCGAGGGCCCGGGGTCAGTAGGTGGCCCGATGAGATGCCCTGGTACCTTTTTCATAGGCTTTTTTGAGTTTGGGCAAGGACAAAGGGGCCCCATGATCCCCTATTGCCTGGGGGCCCCATGAGTTGTCAGTCCGCCCCTGCATGGAACAACAGATCTGATAAATATCTCCACGAAAAACACTTAAGGGTTGCTCTAGGATAAATGGTCCCTTGAAGATCAAAACTGGATACTCTGCCCAGGGGCGGACTGACCATTTGGAAACTCGGGCACTGCCCGAGGGCCCGGGGTCAGTAGGGGGCCCCATGAGATGCCCCTGGTACCTTTTTCATAGGACTTTTTTGAGTTTGGGCAAGGACACAGGGGCTCCATGATCCCCTATTGCCCGGGGGCCCCATGAGTTGTCAGTCCGCCCCTGCATGGAACAACAGATCTGATAAATATCTCCACGAAAAACATTTAAGGGTTGCTCTAGGATAAATGGTCCCTTGAAGATCAAAACTGGATACTCTGCCCAGGGGCGGACTGACCCTTTTGAAACTCGGGCACTGCCCGAGGGCCCGGGGTCAGTAGGGGGCCCGATGAGATGCCCTGGTACCTTTTTCATAGGACTTTTTTGAGTTTGGGCAAGGACACAAGGGCCCCATGATCCGCTATTGCCTGGGGGCCCCATGGTTTGTCAGTCCGCCCCTGACTCTGCCCATAGCAACCAATCAGACGTCATGTTTTATTATCTGGAAAAAACATGAAAGCTAATTGGTAAAAATGAATCAAAGATCCCCAGTTTTCCTGCTTTGTTTGTGTTTTGCAAATAGAAAATCTAACTCATTCTAAAACTAAACCTCATCAGTTCATGTTTGAGAAAAAAAAACAGCCCTTTGCTGGACAATAGATGTCAGCTGCAGGATTTACTCCACTTTGTTCCCTATTTTGAGAGAGCTTGTAATTTTGTACTGTTGGCTGGCTGCCCACCGCTAATCTGAATCCTTTCTGTTTTTATCTTATTAAATATTAAACCTCTCTTAAACATTGCTATTTTAGCTGTCTGTTGTGGATGGTTGTCTATTTGTGTAACATTTGATACTTAGAGATAAGGGAGACAATGTGGGTGTCCCTGGTAATATATGAGAGGAAGGGAGTGGTGGAATGACTATTTAAGTGAACATGACTGAACAGCTGAAAGCAAACAATGAGGTCATCTCTCCCTCTCCACCAACATGTAGAGCATGGTGTATTCACAGGTTATAGCTCACAGAAAAAACAGACAAACTTCATTATTGTATCAAATGTAATCACAGATACTTTGTAGTGCAACTGAAGTTCGAAGCAAAAGATCCTAGAAAACATGACTGAAATAAATGCGCTGACCGATCTGGAACTAGCGGCATCCTTAACCTCCACCAGTGGTGGAAACATATTTTGGCTGTTTTATGTATTGTATTTTCACATTGTTCCTTGGCTATAACTAGTGGTAGAAATGTTATATTTTGGCTGTTCTATGTATTGCTTTTTTGCACATCGCACCTTGACTATAACCAGTGGGGGAAAGGTCATATTTTGACTGTTCTATGTATTGCATTCACTCATTGTTTCTTGACTATAGCCAGTGGTGGAAAGGTCATATTTTGGCTGTTCTTTTTATTGCATTTGCTTATCATTTGTTGACTATAAGCAAAGGTGGAAATTTTATATATTGGCTGATCTATATATTTGCTTTTGCATATTGTTCCTTGACTATATCCAGTGGTGCAAATGTCATATTTTTGCTTTTCTATGCATTGTGTTTGCAAATTGTACCTTGACTATACCAGTGGTTGAGATGTCATATTTTGGCTGTTCTATGAATTGCATTTGTTCATCATTCCTTGAATATAACCAACTGTGGAAATGTAATATTTTGACATTTCTGTGTTGAATTTTTCTCATCATTCCCTGACTATAACCAGTGGTGGAAATGTCATATCTTGGCTGTTCTATGTATTACATTTGCACATTGTTCCTCAACAATAATCAACAATGGAAATGTGGTATTTTGGCTGTTCTGTATTTTGCATTTGCATATTGTTCCTTGACTATAATCAGTGGTGGAAATTTCATATTTTGGCTGTTCTATGTTTTGAATTTTGCCAATTGTCCCTTGACTATAACCAATGGTGGAGATATAAAATTTTGATTGTTCTATGTGTTGCATTTGCTGATTGTCCCTTGACTATAACCCATAGTAGAAATGTCATATTATGGCTGTTATATGGATTGCATTTGCATGTTGTTCCTTGACTATACCCAATTGTGGAAATATCATATTTTCTGTGTATTGCATTTGCCAACTGTTACTTGACTTTAATAGTGGTGGAAATGTTATATTTTGGCTGTTCTATGGATTGTATTTGCATATTGTTCCATTGCTGTAAGCAATGGTGGAAATATCATATTTTGATTGCTCTATGTATTGTATTAGCAGATTGTATCTTGACTATAACTACTGGCTGCCAAGCAAGGTCAAACTAATTACTCCCATATTACATGAATCCCCATCCAGCTATTTTCGGCTAGATCATATCACAGTCTAATAAGCCACCTTCAGAGTGACATTCTCAAGGGATTAAAGGATCAAACTTGTTAGAAAACCTTGTCCAGTCATTATTTGTTTTGCATAAGATAAGTTGTTTTGGCTATCTAGTTCCAGACAGTTCTGATGTCAACCTTGAGCTTTAGTCATGTGCTTGTGCCTAGGCATTATCTCCCAAGGTCTACCTGAGAGGTGGAACCTTAGTCCAGGAAGTAAGTGTTGATACTGAGTGATGGCTAGAAAAGGTGGTGCCAGCCTTCCACATGAAATGAAAATGAGTTCTGTGATCTCGGTGTAATGCATTGCGTATAACACTTATAGGTAGACACTTAACATGAAAAATATGTCTGACCCTAAGTCTATTTTAAAATGTATATCCAATTAAAACTTTTTTTTACAGCTTTCTGAAGTTTTGTTTGAGACAACTGTTTCATCAGACAGGAGGCAATAGTAAATCTTCAAAAGCAACACAAAAATAAAATGCTTTTTTTGTAGAATATGGGAAGGGTAGGGTAGGGTCTCCTGGTTCATTATAATTGCTGATTATGTCCTTGTTCCTTTTTCCTTCAATTCCTGTCTGTTAAAACCAGTGTCTCCGGAACAGGAATTGAGGAAAAACTTCCCTAACCCCTTCCCCCAATCAAAAAAAGTTTTGCAGACCTTACACTTTAAGGTTGCACTTGGTGGGCATGTGTCTTTTTAAACTTTTAATATTATGTGCATCAAGAGACCATTATACTTTCCAACCATCCTAGGGCTGTTGGCAAAATTCCGGGGTTTCGCAGACATACCACAGGTCCCTGGGCCAGGTGCTAGAGCACTCATTTCAGTGCCTGGTGGGAGAAGCAGTTTCAAATAGACTGGACTCTCTGCTTTTGTAGTTGCACTCTGTGAGTGTAGTTGCCCCAGAGCTTAGAAAATGAGAAAAAGCTCTGCTGACTTCCATCATCCAATCATGTGCAAGAAGAAATGTTTTTTTTATTTTCCTTGCATGTGATTGGGTATTCTTTGCAAAGTTTTAGCTTTGTCAATTAAGTTCTGGAGCAACCACGCTTGCAAAATGCACAGTCTATTTGCCTTTAGTATATCTACTAGACTATACACTATATTTCCAAAAGTATTAGAATGCCTGCCTTTACAATCACATGAACTTTAACCTCCCTGGCGGTATTCCCGAGTGTAGCTTGGGGTAAAATTTCAGTACCAAGAGCGGTAACCCCGAGCTACACTCGGGCTTACCATGCGGCGTTGCTCAGGGAGTCCCTGCAGCGCTTACCTTGTCCTTCACTCCCGAATGTGTCCCCTGCAGCGTCCCCGGCCATCTCCTCCGGCCGATGCTGCATCCGACTCCGTGTTCCTGTCCCTGTGACGTCGGGACGTACGGGCGCCGGAACCAGTGGCAAATTTTAAAATTTTTAAAAATGTAATTTTTTTGTAAACGAATATTACATAGTAAAACATTGTTGTTTCAAACCATTTCACATACATTTTGTCCCTACTGCTTTGTCCTGTGCCCTGCCTGCATTTTGACTGTTCTTTCTGCCTGAAAACTTAGAAAAGTCCATGGCGTCCAAAAAGTGTCCCTTTAGGTCAAAAGCGGTTTTAGACCAGCTAGAGAACAGCGATAGTAAATCAGAACCACTTGCAGAATTGAGTGATAATGATTTGTGGGGAAATTCAGCAACAGACACTGAAAACGATTTTGCGACTTTGCTCAGCGATGTGCGAACTTGGCGCTATATTTCAAATTTCAGTGTTTTTGGTTTGATGATATTATTGAATTAAATTTATTATTATTATATTATTATTTTTTATGATTATTTATTAAATTATATTTATGATTTCATGTTTCAGTTTTATCATATCCGTAATGTTTACTAGACTCTTGTTCGGACAGATTTCAGTGAGTTATTGCTAAAAATTACAGCCTACAATAAAAAAAAATACATATTTCCATGCAAAATAATGGTACTGCTTTCCAGCACCAAAAATCTGAAAGAATCATACCGCCAGGGAAGTTAATGGCACCCCAGTCTTAGTCCATAGGGTTCAATACTGACCTGGCCCACCATTTACAGCTATAACAGCTTCAACTCTTCTGGGAAGGCCGTCCACAAGGTTTAGGAGGTGTCTATGGAAATGTTTGACCATTCTTCAAGAAGTGCATTTGTGAGGTCAGGCACTGATGTCAGACGAGAAGGCCTGGTTCGCAGTCTCCGCTCTAATTCATCCCAAAGGTGCCCTATCGGGTTGAGGTCAGGTAGAGGTCAGGAGTCAAGTTCCTCCACCCTAAACTCACTCATCCATGTCTTTATGGACCTTCTTTGTGCACTGGTGTGCAGTCATGCTGGAACAGGAAGGTGCCATCCCCAAAC